GAAGTGGGGAACTACACGGGGCGCCCCGGCGCCCGCCGAGCCTGCGCGGGGACCGCCATCTTTGTTGAAGGCAAGAGGGCTTCGCCGGAAGCCGCCGCGGGCCGGCCGAGGAAAGGCCGCCGCTGCCGGCGCCGCTGAGGGCGGGCCGGGAGGCCGCCATGTCAGCTGTGGGCAGCGGTGGGCCGGCCGGCCGGGAGACACGGCCGCCTCCCCGCCGGGAAGGTGGGCCTCGGGGAGGGGGGGGCGTACTGCGGGGAGGGGGTCTGCTGCTGGGTTTGGGGTTGAGGGGGGAGGCTAGCAGTGGGGAGCCGGCCCACGTCCACTTCGCGAGTGAGCAAAGGGGAGCCCCGACCCCGGGCCGGCTCGGGAAGGGGCCGCGCTGCTGCTCGGTGCCGAGGGGCTGTCGGGGGTCTCGGGGGGTCCCCGCGGAGGAGGCTCCTTCCCAAGAGCGCGGAGGGACCTGCTGCGCCCCCGCATCTCGGTGGTGAGGGGGATTTTTGGTTTGGTTTGGGTTTGGTGGTTTTTTTTTTAGAAAGTGGAGGAGTTGGTGCTAAAATTAAATTAGAAACTACAAAACCCGGCGTTTTCATAGCAGCTGATCCCATTGCTCTCGAGGGGTGCCGGTGCCTATTGGCAAGTGTACGCCGAGCCCAGCTTCATCCAGGCGCTGGTGTCACCGTAGCAATCCTACAGCAACGCTGTGTGCACCACTATATGCAGATATTTAGCTTCATTACTTTCATCTGAACAGCCTAAAAATGGAGCAGCTTTCATAGATGAAAACTGTTGAGTAAGATCCAGCCTGCGTCTACCACATTTCGAGTGCTGTGGATATTCTCATAGTTTTATTCATCCGTTACTGAATACAAAAACATTTCTCTCACATCATTTTATACAAATACATGAAGCCAAAGTACAGCAGAAGAGGGAAAACTGTGATTCATAGAGCTATAAAAATGAGGCAGTGTCATTTCCTATCACATATCACTGAAGAACTTTTTTCCTTCTTTACGTAGGCGTGAGGTGTCAGGCGGCCTTGGGCAGTGTCAGCCCTTTTCTTTCATGTTGGGACCGCAATAGCGATGGAAAAAAAAATATATATATAAATAAATAAAAGAAGATCCTGCAGAGCTGGAATGCGCTACCTTGAAGCTGCAGGCAACCACAGCAAGCTGGCTGTGGTCTGCTCGGCTTGCTAATGCCCGCCCTCTGGAAAAGCAGGGAACGGTGGTTGCTGCAGCTAGAAATGCTGCCACTATGTGAATCCCGTTTGTACATTCGGTTTAGACTTAAACGTACAGATTTAAGGGTGTTTGGAAGTTTGTTATGGAAACCTTTACACGCCTTTCCTAGGCATTGTACCCAGGAAATATTTACCATGGAAAAATACAACTGGAAATAGTATTGGTGGAGCTCGCATACTGCATATGCTCAACATGATATTTATCTACAAGATTTTGCATACGGATACACACTTGGGCACACTCAGAAAGCTTAGATCCTTTTCCTTTGATTTTCCTGTGGCTGACAGCAAAGTTGAGAATTTATGTGGATGCAGAATGTAAATCACAGTCTTAATGGCAAAGTTTGTACGCTGAATTTAAAAAATGTTTAAAAAATTATAGACATTTATTATGTGGCCAGCTTCTGCAGAGATGCTAGTTATTTGGCAATTTTAAAGCAATATTTTTGTTTAATTGACATAGTGCTTTTATCTAGGATTATTTCCAGACAATAAATTTGATACAAGGAGGTTAAATTACTTTTAAATAATTGATAAATAATATCTTATTCCAGTGTATCTATTAAACCAAGGTAAATGTTTTTTGTCTCAGGCACACATGTTATTCTTCTAGGAACACAGACATGAAAAATTTAAATACTCCTATGGGTTGTTTCAGAGTGATGCATTAAAGTATTTACTATGACCTTGACAACACTGGAAACCACACAAGTAAGTCATCGTCGGCAACTCTTAAGAAATACACTGCTGTTGTAGCCAAAGTACAGCAGAGGTGGTTTTAGATGTTCATGTCATGGATAGTTTGGAATACCAGTCGTGAGAAAAACACACTTGTAAACAACACAGACCGCGCCAGGGAGCAGAGAACACCATGAACCATCTATATGATCATTCCTCAGCACAGTGCTGTAGAGCTGCTGAAAGTTTCCCCTCTCTTAGCTTCTTGTATTTCTGATTGCCAGCTCCTTTTGTTTTTTGTTGTTTTTTTTCTACTCACAATCTAAGGAGCTGTATTATATATGGAATTGGAGTGACCAAACTCGGAGACTTAAAATCATCATTGCGATCCCGACAGCTGCATTTAATAGCAGATAATGTGCCTACACATTAAAATAGAAAATTAAGACAAGCAGTTACATCACTTGCATTTACTGTATCTTTTTGCCAGATGAGGCAATTAGGATTATTTATGTTATACTGTCCAAGAATATCTTAGAAAGTTAGCAAAACATATGGATGTGCAGAGAGCAACTCTGGTTCCCACTGAAGTAAATGGTAGCAGTTGTACAGCCAGCGTTTAGTCACGTCTTTGCTTACAGCCTAAACAGAGATGTGAGGAAGGAAAGCGGTGAAAGGAAACAGATAAGCCCAGGAAGGAAGAGGATGACAGCAGAGGTCCGAGTCTAATTAGAGGAAAAATCTGGTGTTTCCTTTTCCTTCCACTAGTTTATAGCTAGTGCTGTGAATTCACTAACGGGTGCTGTAAATGCACTGCTGGTGTTTCAGGTTCATCTTTAGCCGTGCACCCCCGGTGTTCATCATGCTCTGCAGCTATGGAGTAAGGATGCGAACGGGTAATACTTCAAGGAGAGAAGCCCTTAAAACTTTTCATTTTGGTTCTGTTCAGGTTCAGCCCTGACTAAAGTTCTTCCAGTTCAGTTCTGGTCTGAGTCCAACAAAACTTGGTTATATTCCACTTTTAGAGACACGAAAAAAAATTTATATATATATATGTATATTTGAGCCAGTTTAGGTTCAACTCCCCGCTAACTCTGGTCAAATCTCAAAGCTAACCATGATTAAAAAAAGCAGATTAAAGAAAGTATATTTCCTTGACTTTATAAATCACTGGACCACAGTCAATCCCACACATCAGTATCATCAGACTTTTAGACTTAACTCCTTGTTCTCTCTGGTTCTGTGGATTGGGGAACTGCCGGTGGTCATCAGGCCATGCTTTTGAGGACTACTGAATTCAGGGTAGCAAGTCTGAATCTGTAGGAGCCAAGCTAAGCAGCATCTCTTCTAACAATGCTCTTCTCTTTATGTGTGGGTTATTCCAGGTCAGAATACTAGAATTTTAAATTTACCATACACTTTTCTTAAAGCTCATTTAAAAGTCACAAATCGTTTTAGAAATGCTGTACAACAAGATTTAAAAAAAAAATAAAAGCCTTTGAGAGGATCCTTTATGCTAATTAAAGTCAAGCTGTATCCTAGCATGTACATATTTTCTTTGTTTTCTACAGACTAATTTGTTTCTGCTGATAACAAGAGCCAAAATGTGTTTTTAAAACTGGTGCAAGCAGATTTATTCTATTAGGACTACGCTGTTTTCAATTGTCTGTAGGACAGCATTCCAACTTTAAGGACAAAAGAAAAGAAATATGAGCCTCTAGATCTGTTTATTAAAAACACATCTAATTGGTTAAACCTCTCACAAAACCTCTGAAATGAAGATGGAAAAAAAAGAAACATATATTATATGTTCGCCTGTCATTTTTAGAAAGAAGAGCACACAAAACATGTCTGAATGTGATGCATCTCAAAAATACTGCTGAAATCCGAGTCAGGGTGGCCCAAACTCGGTGGCCTGAAGACCAGATGAGGGTCTTGCAAGCCATTGCTGTCCACTGCCGTCCCAGGCAACAATCCCTCCCCTTCCTCCCTCTCCTCTTCCTCCTCACCCTGGTCCCCACTGCACTCCCCTTTGCAAGGGTGGCCCTCCCTAACGTGCCAGCCACCGAAAACCAGGCTGATGCGAAGGAATGGAAGGTTTTTGGTATGGGAAGACTGCCCAACTTGTAGAGGGAGATTAGGCTGGGGTGCGCTGGGCACCAGTAGGATTTGAGGGCACTGGGCTGTGGATTGGGAGGGGGTGTCACCCTTCAGGTGGCATTGGCTACCCCAAAAGCGTTTGTGAGAAAAGATGACAGGCAGGACTAAAGTGCGTCGCCAAAGGGGGATTGGCCCCTGGGCTGCTGCTTACATTATTCAGATACTTCATAACTTCCCATCCATTTAAATAATAAAGGCTTTAAATTAAACACAGTTGGAAGAGAGCAATGACCACAGAACAAAGGTGACACATCATGAACTTCCTTAAAAATATTGTTTTATTAAAAAGCACGTCCAGCATGTAGGTAAAATATAGCACAGAAAGTTTCAAAACATCTTAAACCATGGGGTCTGAAGTGACCGTGCAGTGTCTATACATTTACATTTTTTTCAATAATAAAAATGTTTATTCACAGTACTGCAATGAATTAATTCACAATGCTGTTTATTTTAATACAAATAATCTCTAGCCAAAAACTGAATGCAGAATAGTTATATGAAAAGAAGCAGGCATCAGATGTGAAAATTTTTGTATTCATTGCAGAAAATAAAAAATAAATCTCTGCAATGAATTGTAATAAAAAACCTGCAATTAATATTTGAAAAATATGACTCAGTATTTCTCAGAATTTTTAGTCCGTTTTCTTTAAATATATGAATTAATGTAGTTCTGTGTTTGTTTTTGAAGTTTAATTTAAAGATGCTTTGAGGAGACAGATGAAATACTGCAAGCCTCTAAATATTTATTCCAGACTTCTGAAGTTAGTTTTTTGTAAAACAACCATTTTAATAATGTGAGAACAAACAAAGTAAATTCACAAATTAGTCTGAAAATCAAACATTAACAAATAAGTAAAAGGAATTTAAGATTCAAGTCTGAAACCTTTTCACAAAACCAACTTATTTTATTTGCAAATTACAGCATATGAAATGGTGGTCTAGCATTTTAGATAAAAGTCCGGAAGGTTGGTTTTATTTAGGAAAAGAATAACTACTGCTTCTTGTAATCTTCTCTTTCTTTCCCAGGCTTTGAGCTGGACAAACTCATATACAGTACTTATTCTTAAAGGTTCTTACTTTCAGATTAAACTTTTCAGGAGCTAGTAATGGTTCATGGAAAATTTTTACAGGTTGCCTTGCAAGAGATTTGCTTATCCTTCCATAAATCCTGTTTTCAAACAAAAAATACCCTTTGATTAAAAATTCACTTACTCAGTTTTGTTCGCTTTCGAAAAGCAATCTGTCTGCACGCATGGTTACAGTGGGCTAGTTAAGCAGCCTGCAGCAGGCACTGCATCTTCCATCAGGGGAGTTTAGAGAAACAGATGAATTTCCAGAAAACATTTATCTTCTCGCAGGCAGTTTCCCTCACAGACAACACGCCTCTGAAGCGCTTCAACTCACCGAGGAGCTGCGATGCCACTTCCACTGCTATCGAGTTAGACAAGAATCTCAATTTCCTAACTTCTTTTCTTCTCTCTTTCTAGCAATGCAGCCATTCAAAGATATTGCCACCGTTGCAGCTTAAGTTCCTATCAATGGTAATTGAAATATAAGTGACTTTTCACCCCACCCTGATCAATTACAAAATGTTAAGTCTGCTGCCCACTTTACAGACAGGTAAATGTAGGCTCAATCTTGCTTAATATTGCTCTTTCTAAAAGAAAGTGAACCAGCTAAAAATCCCTTAAACAGTAACAGTTGGTCCACAATTTATTCCACCCTCCAGGCTGTGTCAATGAGCAGCACACTGGGTAAGAAAAAAACAAATGTGTGATGTGTGTAATATTGGTGTCCGGAGCGACCCCTCCAATTTGGAGATTCCCCCGGGGGCAAACTGAGTGTGGATTCAGAGATTCAGCTGAACAGATCCTATTTCAGGGCTGCAACCTAAAGAGATACAATTGAATTGTAAACAAAATGTTTTGAAAAGTTATTTTACAGCCTTCAGATATCAGTCTTACAACTGTTTATGTAATTCTTGTTGTCAAGCCTGATTCAAATAACCTCAATAAAGTCAAATGAAGAATTTGCACTGGGCTTTGAATCTTTTCTTATGTTTAACATACCTCAGTTGCAATCCTCAGCTATGAAACATCAATTATGGAGCAATTCGACTGTAAACAAACAGGTGTACTTACATAAACCCTGCCTGCCAAGTGAGAGAAAAATTAAAGCAATCGCATTGAATTTGGGGATTTTTTAAAAAATGTAATTTGTTCTTCGAAGCACTCGGCACTGAACTTTTCCTGGGTATTATCTGTTTGAATTTTTTCCTATTAAATGTCAGCTTGTTTCTTATACTAATATAAATAGTTTTTGCTCCTGAATTTTTTTACTCCGTAATATCATAGAAAGTAATTGTATGATTTTGATATTTCAGTTCCTGGAGAGTTAGTGGCTCCAACTCTGGAAGAAAAAACAAACAAACAAACAAACCAAAACACAGGTGAAATCTTTTTTTTTTTTTTTAAAATAAAATAAAATCCACAATTTTTCAGGGAGATTAAACACCATAGTTATGGTGATATGTTTTTACTTTTCCCTAGACTTTCTCAGAGGCACTGGCTACTTCAAAGTCCTGGAGATAACCTGATTAACAAACACAGTTCATTCCTCCCCTCCTTGACAACCTTGGGACCAGGACAGACTGATTTTGCTGTAAGCTTAATTTTTCTCCTAAAGTTCAGTTTTCTAGCCAGGTTTTGTTTATATGTGTTTTCAAACTGTGCTGATACTAGTTACCCCCCTGGACCTCTCAGCACAGTGCCAGTCCTGATGGTCAGTTATTTGACACACCGTGTGAGAAGTGCCACCTCTCACAGGAGCTGCTGGCTTTTCCATGTTCTTTCCCTTCCATTCCTTTTCAGCCACCAAATAATGACCAGCGATGTCTGGCAACGATGCCCTTCACAGCCCCTGGCACCAAGAACTCTGCCTCCCAGTTACATGGACTGATTTGTAGAAATGACCCAATTTCATCAGTGTCGTGGGGAACCTCCATGTTGTTGTAAAGAGAGCTCAGACCTTGGTGATCTGAAGTGATGTGTCGGTGGTATGTTGTTTCCAGGCATTTTCAGTCATGCTAAGGGCTTAGCAAAATAGTGAGACCTGCTGAAGGGAACACTAATAAAGGAGTGGTTTTCAGGAGCTAGGCTGAGATACCAGAGTAGCTTGTCATCCCTGTTTCCGTGGTGTATACAGCGCTAACCAGCTCAGACCTTTCAAGTAATTTCTAGTTATTCTATTTGGAAATTTTATGGCTTACATACTAAATGTTTCCCTTATTTCTACAGTTTTTTAAAAATAAAAATTCTCCTTTCAATGGAAAAGTTTCTTGTAATTATTGAGAACCAGTAATACAACTGTTAGAATCCCTCAAGCCATTACTTCCTCTAGCAGTCAACATGATACTTAGATTTATTTTAATGACAGCAGAGTCAGCAGAAGTTTTATTTTACTTTATTTTAAATGGCTGTTAGACATGACACCCACATCTAAAGGTATCTCTTCCCATTTCCATCATGTGTTTTGGCTTTAAAAGATCAAAGCTCTGACACCTCTCAACTTACTTTCTGCTAGATCCTAAGCTTATAGCCAAAGGAAAAATCCATAGGAATTTTATCAGGAATACAGGGGAAAGTTCTTGAATAGCACATGTAAGTAAATAAAGCTTTTCTATGATCTTTAACAAGCTAATTTACCTGCAGAAACACTTTGCTAAGACACAAGAGGTGGCTAAGGCAGAGGAATTTATGCAACCACAGAACCCTGTCCTTCCTATTGTATGTAGATCCTGTTCTCTTCTAATGCTCCATAGATTTAAGCGAGGAATAAGTCTGGGATTGTTTTAAGATATAAAAATAAATCCCTCTCTCCCCATATTCTAGTGAACAATTTTTTCTTCTTGCTAATAATTATGTATTGTTTATCTAGAATGTGGTTACATAAAATATAATTAGGACAACACCGAGGACATCAGATTAAAATAAAATTAATTACAATGCAATGGGTGCAGCTGCTTGGTTACATTCCCACTCTACCCACCCATCTTGTACTTGGACAATTTTCTGTCTCTGGTGATAGTACAAACAGCAGAGAAATACAACTAAATACAACTAAAATGGAGCCACAGTTCACACTTCTGCTAGGCTTAGTGCTCAACAAAGTACAGTAACCAATTCCACCTTCATCATTCATCTTGCAATTATTTTTTTTATTATTTTATTCAAGCATCACTTTTAGGATTGTGGGATTCTCAGCTTCCTTTAATTAAAGTGAAGAGGTTTTCAGCAACTAACATTATAAACTGGAAAATCTGAAACCTCAAGCCTCAAAAATGAAAACCCAAACCAAAACATGGGATGAAACAAAAGGCTTAGGATTAAAATCCTTATCATGATTTTTGGTTGACTCATGGGCATTGAACCTGTGAAACTGGCTTTGCCGAATGCTCTGTACTAGCAATTCAAGATGACATATATCAGTTAAAAGTCATTTTTGGAATCTGAAGGGCCAGCAATTTAAAAGCTAGTGCTCTGAACAAGCCACAGCAACATCCAAAAAAGTAAAAAAAAAAAAAAAAAAAAAAAAAAAAAAACTAGGAATTTCTTTAAAAAAAATGTTTGGACAACATGATGGTGCCTGAAAATTCATAGGGTCTACATGAAAGATTTTTGTACCACTGTAATCTAATAATGTGCTATCCTTGGATTTTTTGTACCAGAACAAGTTATTCCTCTGTGCTGCGTTAGAATGAAGCTGAGCTTGCAGTGAGTTATGGTGTGGTTTAGTTTTACTTGTGCAATGCATCAGCCCTAGGGCTGGCATCCTAATGAGGACAAGAACTATGCTTTCATACAAAGAGGACTAGTTCCCCCTCCAGTCTGTTCAAAATATCGTTCACTGCTTCAAGCACACCATAGCTACAGACCCTACTAATTCCTCGCAGCAACTAACACAAACGGTACAAAGTGTAAGTCAGTATGCTAAACGTTTGGTGACCTCATTCCACATCACGGTAACCACTCCTGATTATTCACAAGTATCACCACCTTTCACTTTACTAGTGCTCCTTGCCTTCAGCCTGCCCTTCACCCTTGTGCTTTGGAGACCCGCTAACGACAAGCCCAGCAACCTGCCCTGCATCTGCTCCAGGTGGTTCCTCAGAGCTTGGCCCTGCCGTGGGGTACACCCGGCCTGTGAGTGCTCACAGCAGGCTGCCAGCAAGGAGCCATAAATCACTTCTGATATGTGCAACAGGACTGTCTCCGTGCACCCCAAAGCTCTTACCTTCTCAGTCTGCTTGTTCCAGCATTGGTATTTGGGATTTTAAATCCCCAGGCCAGGGACTAGCCTGAAGGGAATTTATTTTAAAGGACCTTAGTACAACATGTTCACCTCTGATACCCCAAGCATATCACAGCTAAGTATCATCTTGGGCTAAAAATGCTCAGCAGTAGAAGGTTAATGTAGCAGCGGTTAGTGTGATTCCTTACTGTAAGAGGAGTTATTCCGTATAGCAGCTATCTCATCTCAAGGTAAAGCTAGGCACGAACTGTAAGAAAACAAATTCATTAGAATGAAAAGGGTTCCCGGAAATACAGCTCTTTCCTGGGCACTGCTCACAGGACAAGCTTCTCAGCTTCAGGTGGCAGTCCCTAGCAAGACAGATGACAAGCACAGGAGAACTGTGCAATTATGTAAATACCTGGAATGTGAGAGCTCTTCTGGGCTGCGTTATGTGAAAAACTTCCAACAATCTGCTACATTTTGGCAGGGCAGGGGAAAAAACTTACATAACACAAGCTTTTGTCTTGTTCTTCAGGAGAAAATTCACCCTATTTCTGTATTAAAGCTTACATTAAAAATGGGGAGAGAGAATGGAAGCTGGGGAGGAGGAAGGAGAAAAGACACTTTTTCCACAGGGAGAACAACAGGTCAAGTATTTGCTGCACCAAGGGACCATCCCCTCTGCCTTGGGTCCTTGGTGTCTTCTTTGTCTAACGCCCCTGCTGCTCATTTCTACCAGCACGTTAATGACAAAACTATGTGCCTAACACTGGCAGTTCAGATGCAACAAAATAAGCTGGTCAATGCCCCAGAGTTTATGAGAAGGCACAGGACATCTTGACAGTACTACAGAGCAGTTAATTCACAAGGAAAACAAGATTATTTTATGTTGTTTCTATTTCAGCCTGGGCAGGACTAGGTTACAGCAAGTCTTGACAACCCTCCTTGTTCAAACACAGGTCTATTTGCTTTAATTAAAAAGAAAGCTAGGGAAAGAGTTAAAACCACGAACTTGTTGACTGAGGATGAATCTATGTCCTTGTTTCTCTCTTTACTGCTCTCCTATTACTCTCATCCTGGATAATTCTTCTATTAAATACTTTGCATTTAGACTGAGGAGCGGGTACTGAGAGTCTTAGTCCCTTCTTCCCATTTGGAGGACTGCTGTAACAGAAAAAGTGATGTCCTGTGCTAATACCTAACTAGAGGAATTCAGCAGGCAGCCTCTAAGCCACTAATCTGAATGTAATCCAGCCATACCTTGGAACAGCACCACAAAGGCAAAGCGGGGGTATTCATCCTCACCCATACATGTGCATTTATTTGAGTTATTAGCTGGGAAATTGTATAGGTTCATAAGATCACTGTTTCCAGAATAGCAGCAAATTCATACATACAAAGATTGGGAGATTGTTGTGCAATTTGATTTACTTTATTGAGTAATAGTCTGATAGCTACAATAATGAATTGGAAGAAAAGAAAAAAAAAAAAAAAGAAAAAAACCTGACCAACCCCCTCCAAAAAAAACCCCCCAAATCCATATTTCCCCACATTTTGGGAAACAAGCTGAAGAAAACATTCTACATTGTAGAAGACAGCTGTAACTGCTGATATCCATGCTTTGACATTGGAACTCAGCAACTGCAAGTCTGCAGCGTACAGTCCTAAAGCCTCAACCAAAAGAGGCTTAACAGTAATAACATGGATATATCACCACTGGGAAGATGTTAAAATGTTAACAAAGATTCTGGGATACCAATCTGGTATAATCAGCAACATACTGGGTTCCTATGAAAGATGTGGCATTTCTCCTTAAGGTCAGCTTTTAGAGAACTTTGAAAAACAATGTTTTAAACTGATTACTTACAGTACTCCTTTGCTTGCAGAAAAGCACAAGAATTATAGTTCAATAAAAACTGAATAGATGATCACTTTTTTGACTGGATTTGATTAGTTACATAACTTTGGCAAGATTATCACAGTGTGATCCAGTTAAGCTTTCAGGATTATACGAACACCAGCACCAAATTAATCTTGGAATCAGACAACTGAGACACTTATGCACTCTCATACATCTGACCAATTCTGTAGTCTCTCCCAGTCCCACTGCTTCAGTTAGCCTTTGATAGTGCAGTATTTTATGGCATTGACAAAGCAACACAATCTGGACAGATTCCTGGCTTCTCTCTCCTCGCAAGAATAGCATGCCACCTTGTTGAACCCCCGAGGATGCAAACTGGGATTATTCTACATAAAGTCTCCCTTTGTGGCATCTGAAATAAAAACCTTTCCCCCAGAACTGCCACTGTTTTGATAGTGAATTCCATGCCGAGTTGTACAACTGGTTACTCAGTTTTTGGTTGATTTAAGAATTGCATTTAGAAGTTACTCTACATAAGAGGCATTTAGAAAAGACATTTATACCTGGTACTGGTACTCTTTCAAGTACTCTTTTAGTCTTGTTGGTAATGGTAGCTCCCAGATCTGATTTGTGCATTTGTTTATAGTTATTCTGCAGCGGTGTTGCAGAGATGGAGCAGACGTATAGAGAGGTTTGTTCAAGTAAAGATGAACTGTTCCATTTGAAGGCGTTTCGGTTCTGTCCTTGCACATAAGAACATAGTACTCAATCAAATGCACAACACTGTTGAACTGCTTAAGTCTAGATCTGACACAAGTGATAGAGTCCAGTCTAAACTTGCCATCTTGATATTCTATGCGTAGGTTAGTCGGTCCTGCTGATGTTTTTACAGAAATAGTCAGTAGATACTCTGAATGTGAACTATCCCTAACCAAGAAGGTCCCCTCAGGGGCATCCTGTAATCTCTCTTTGGCTTCAGCAACAGTCATGTTGCCCCAGTACCACCCTGTTAAAAGAGGAGACAAAGAGGGGTTTTGTTTATTCCTGTTTGTTTGGTTTCCTTGTTTAAAAAGCTGCTCTTTGGTTGATATGCCTGTAATAACCCATTTCCTTTATTATTTGAAAGCTGTAGTCCTGCAGGCGTTGTAAATTTTTATTTGCTATTTAGATTCATTTGCTTTCCAATGCGTCTCGTTTTGACAGAGCCTTCCAGGTCCCTGTTTATTTTCATATCTGTGCAGACACACGCACAAACTTTCCTGCAGCGTCCTGCGAGGCTGCCGCCGAAGCCGCAGACCCCACCGACCGCCCGTACAGTAGCGGGGACGCGCCCCGCGGCTCGGCGCTGCGCACACGCCGGGGCGAGCGCTGCGCCCGCACGGCACACGGTGGCAGCCCGCAAAAAGCCCGCTTGTGTGAACCCTGAGAGGCTGTTGTTGAGATGAGCTTCTTTTAGCAATCAGAAGCAGGCAGGGGTAAGAAAACAACTTCGGCGGTGCGGCTGCGGTCCTAGCGGAGAGACGATGAAGACAAAAGCCCTTCCCTCCGCCCGCGGAAAAGCCCCGCGCCCCGCGGAGCCAGGCAAGCCGCCGCCACGCCGGCGAGCAAAGCGCAGGTACGCGGGGCCCAGGGGATGCGGTGGCGCCGCCGTCCGCTCCCCACGCCGCGGCCACCCCGGCCGGCGGCAGCGCCCGGTCCTCGCCCGGTCGGCGAACCCGGGCTGCCGCCGGGACGCGGCGCTGCCGCCGCGGGCGGTGCTTTCGCCTCAGCCGCCGGAGCCCCCGGAAGGTAGGAACCGCCGCTGCCCCTCGCCTTGCCCCGACCCCACAGCGCCCGGC